GAGGGTTACAAGGGAAGTAAAAGGTATGGTCACTAGCCTTGTTGTTTTTTTATTTTTTTAAGCCTTATTTAGGAGGTAAGATATAATCACAAGAATGGTAAAATCACTATGCAAATGAAATAATAAAATAACAATGAATAAATGCCTATTTAATTCAACACACATTTATTATTAAGAAATAAATAATATAGTTAATATTTGTTGATTTGATTTGTCAAAATTAAAGATTCATACAGTAAGTGCTATAGATAATCAGGGAATTAAGTGAAAAGTTTGCTTTCTTGTTATTTCCTGTCTTATAAAAGTGGAATTACTGCCCTCTACCTTGTCCAACATGAATTAGCTTACAATTAGCCTCTGCTTATCATATACACACACACAAAATCTATGCATATAAATGTATATACATGCATATGTAATACATGCACATACATACATGTGCATTTGTAAATATATGTGTATGCATTCCACCTTGCATCTGCCTGCGGCTCTGTCTGGTTTCAACTCAAGATGCCCCTCCCAGGTCGAGCTCATCATTTTTAGAACTCACCACCAAGTCACTAACTTGAGCCTTGATTAATTCCATCTCCCTCAGTTTCCTCTCCCCTTTGTTTGGAGGGCTGGGGGGTAGGGTATCAAACATCTCCCAATGCCTTACTTTATAAAGGGCAGAAAGTAGACTCTCAGATCTCTCTAGCTTGCATTTGCTGCCCTGCCTGGTTTCAACCCATGGAACTAGATGCAGCCCCCCTGACCCACAAGGGCCCCTTGGTGACCCACCTCTCCCCATCTCTCCCCTACCCATTTCCTGCCTCCTTTTGTATGCTGTCTTCTATCTTAAGTTGTAAGCTTCTTTAGGCCAGGGACTTTCTTTTTGTTAATTATTAATTATTAACCCAGTGCTTAGCACAGTGCCTGCTATACTGTAGGTGCTTAATAAATGTTTATTAGATGTTTGTGTATTTATAAAGAGGACATCTAGTGAATCTCTTCATTTTATAGATCTAATCCAATAAATAATTATTAAATCCTTACTGTGTTCCAAGTGAAGTGACATCCCTAAGGTCACAAACATTTTAGTGGACCTTGGACCTGGACTCAGATCTTCTAATGCCAAGATGAGTGAAATTTCTTTCCCATCATGTTGTCCTGTTCTAGGCCAGTGATCACATTTAAAAGGCCAATTATATAGACTTGGACTTTTATGTAGTCAATGTAATATACACTATCCCCTAGCTTAGATAAATATTTATTTAATTTTTTTAAGCAATGGCCACAACTTATTTTGCAGTTAGTAGTCTTTGAATTTTATTGAATTTTGGTTTTTCAGTTTTATAAACTTTCCTAAGTCTCTGGTTCTATCTGTACATGATGTTTTAAAATGACTTTATTTCTTTATTTAAAAAAAATTGTAGTGGAGGAGGGGTGGAAGTTATTTTTCTCCCAATTTCAGTTGATATAATTGCAGAAAGTAAGGAACCTCCTCAGTAAAGAAGCTATACCTATGGGTGAGAAGTTTAGAGATACCACAAGAAGAGAAAAGACATAGGGGCTCTGTGGTGCTAGAGATAGAGGAAGAGCCTTTGGCTACTGGTGCTCCTTACATGTGTCCTTCATTACCAGAGTACTCTAAGTTTGTGTCCACTTTTCCCCTCTATTCTATATATTTGTGGGAGAGTGAGTCAGAGATTTAGGGAGGAAATATTTAGTAGCTACCACTCTCATTATGCCATCTTTGTGAATACCTTTGTTTTGCTCTAATTTTGTCTATTAGCTGACTATTAAAAGTAAGAATACCTGTGGGAGCTCATTAACTATAGTTTTAGAAGTGTAGACTCACAGAGTACCTTTAGATTCTAGAATGGTAGTAACTCAACCTACAATCTGTGAGCAACAAGGCAGGGAAGTAAACCCAGAGGTGGATTACACACACTAAAAAAAACCTGTTAAAAATGTAACAATTTTGAAAGGCTAGAAGGTTGAACATTCTAACATATCCATACTTGGTTTGGCATCTGGATTTTGTTTTGATATCAGGTTACTTAAAAAAAAAAGATTTCGGGAAATTTATGTTCTACCTTTGGATTGCTCCTGACGTAGGGTAGAACTATATCTAATGAAGTTAGCATTCAGGTCTTATTTTTGTTTTTCTCTTTGGCTATCAGCTTTGATTTGTCCTATTTGGTAAATTCAGTTCCCAGAATGATTGAATATTCTAACATTGGTTTGGTCTGCTTCTCTGGGGCTTTCTTTGTTCTTTTTGCTATTGGTGTTTTAGTTGGGTTCTTATCTTAAGAAACACATGTGTGTTTTTCTTTATGTTTCTGAACAATTTGTGAATGGCTGCAAAAACTGGTTTACAAAATGGCTTTTGCTTCAACTGCAGTGCTCTAAGCCAATAATGGCTTTGTAATAATTTAATGTATTTGAGTGTTTTAAAGAAACCTAATTATATCATGCCAAGTACTCTGGCTGAAAATTATCAGGTCTTAAAAAGAAGCTATGATTTAGTATATTTGTGGCAAATATTCTATTCTATTTTAAAATATATCTGTAGGAATGCATTCTTTTTTTCAGGCTGCATATTTTTCTATTCAGCTAAAACACAAGTGGTATGAATTGTCACTGGCTTATCTCCTTGCCTAGAATCAATGTTGCTCAAGGTTCTAAATCACCTACTCTTGGAATTTTACCTTATCGTGTGCTGCTTTTGCATCACTATTTCTGTAATGGCTTGAATGTTGTCTAAGGGAAAAAATAATATTGAGTAGATTAACATTCCTGGGGTGGTAAGGTGGGTCTTTTAAAAAGAAATGTGTTGTGGTCAAGTGACAGATTTAGCAAATTCTCTTTATTTACATATAAATGTGTACACATACTCTATATGTACACAGGAAATTCTAAGTATATATATATACACATATGTTTCCACATACTGTACAATATGTATGCGTTTTTAAATTGCTTATAGAGGAAGGTAAAAAGACATGTCAATTAAGTCATCACTTACAACAATATTACAAAGCGCCTGACAAACTCAGAATAGAGCAATACATTCTAGCCTGTACTACCATATACCACTAAGTCCAGTACAATTTATATAAAACAGAACACTGTGTATAGAGCAGCAGCAAAAGGTAAGAAATGGAAAATTAAGTTTTATGACAATAACAATCGGGTTTTATGGCTAGTGAAGTAAGATCATTTTGTTAGGATACCTCTTCCTACTCCACTTCTCTTCTTCCAATCCCATTTGAAAGAAAAAAGGAAGGAAGGAAGGAAGGAGCAAGAGAAATAAAGAGAGAAAGGAAGGAAAGGAGGGAGGGAAAGAGGGAGAAAGGAAGGAAAGAGCAAGAGAAAGATGAAAGAAAGAGAGGGAGGAAGGAAGGAAAGAAAGGAAGGAGAAAGGAAGGAAGGAAAGAAAGGAACAGCAAACAAACAGCCTTATGAATCCTGACTTTTGGATGAAATTTATTTTCACAAACAATACCTTAGTCTGAAATTTTACAGAGCATAGGGGAAATGGGTGATCTATAATCTAGAAAGCCACTCATTTAAGGGACCTCTAAGCAACAGAGAATTTCTTTTTTATTAACCAGCTCATCCTCCCTAATTGAGTCAGTGATGGTCCCATTTTGTACCTTAAGGATTAACTTTATCATCTTAGAAAAATGCCAAGGTGACAGACACTGAATTGTTTACTACCACACTCATTTGTAAGTAGACTAGAAAGTCTGGTTCATAACCAGGCATCTTGGTTGTCAGAATAACAACATTTTAACACTAACAACCTTTTATTTCCATACAGCCCTCCCCTTCAGTCCAAAAATAGATACAACCCAGGGATAAATTTGGAAGACAAGAAGTATTAGGACTCTAGAGTTCTTAATTTTCTCCCTATCACTTTTAATGGCTTCCTTCATTTCAAAGGTGGTGAGTGTGTGTGTGTGTGTGTGTGTGTGTGTAAAAGCCTGTGAGCAAATTAACAAAATGCAGTTATTTGCTATGGGTGGATTGTACTCAAATATTTACTTTAAGTTTTGATAAACTCAGTAGGGTAATAATGATTAAAAAAAAGGATCTTTCTTATCATTAAGATAGATCACATGGTATCTCTTCTAATACCACTATAAAACACAAATAGAATCCTAGATAGAGCTAGAAGGGATCTAAGAGGTCACCTAGTTGAACCCCCTCATTTTACAGATGAGGAAACTGAGATCCAAAAAGCTGAAGTGACTTGCCCAACGTCACACAGGTAGTTAATGGTAGAACCAGGATTTGAACTCAGGTCCTCTATCTCTAACCACAATGCTTTTCCCACTTCCATCACACTTATTATTCAGATGGAAGAGATTACAAGCATGAGGGTCACAATAATGAACCAAACCATGTTAATTCAACATAGCACATCTACTTCTATTAATGTGTATTAGTTCCACTGTGGCACAGTTTCTTCTTTTAAAGGTAAGTTTTCAAACAAGTTTTTCTCTATGATTTCCCATAAAAGTGATTACATGGGACTGAACATAAGAAAATCATGAAAAAAAAGTCAATGTTAGAAATGCAACTCTTCTGTCCAATGCAGTCTTTTCAGCTGCTTTACTGTATTTGCTGTTTTTTAAAAGCAGAATTCTAATACACATCTGAAAGGCAGACTCATTGTCAAGAGCAGTGTTTCTCACATGCAAAATGGTGTCCTTTCTTGTCTCATGTTGCTACCATCTGATAGCTCCCTTAGCAAAAACCAGCAACATTTCCAGACCATCATCTTAAATGAAAGTGATATTACATAAACAGTTTGACTCTGTAGGTTACTTATGACACAGCACAAACACAGCCACGAACTTGAAGACTTTTTTTTTAATCATTTTAAAACCTGATAAGGAAGCAAGGTCCACTGCCCCAAACAAAAGGAATCTTTATGGTGAGGAGCTGAACTCCATTCTTAGTTATTCCAGTCACAAATGTCCCCCCCAGTCCTGCCATCTCATAAAGATTCAGCCGGAGGATAAATATGGAGTCTCACTATGGTAATTGTAGTCAGGACAAACCTTTTGCACAAGTTTGTAATCGACACTGTAAAAGGCAATGTAAATGCAAATAACCTTAAAGGGTTTGGAGCACAACCAAGAGACATGACTCTGAGTCTGTTCCTGGTAGCAGATCTTCGAAGGGTCAAAGTTGCACAATGCAGTCTTCTTCGCCCGGTCTGTTTTTTCATATTCAATGCGGCAATTGAAAGATTTGGATTCCTTGGTTTCTAACGTGGACTGAGGAGAGACTTCAAATTCTACCACTTTGGATGGTGGTACCAGACTTACTGAGACATTACCCAGACCTGTGGAGTTATGTCGGAAATAAACGCTAAAGGTTCCATTGCCATGGTCGACAATTTTCCCCGTGATGAGAAGGTTGAGTTTCACAGTCTTAATGTTGGAGTGGAAGTCACCCCATCCAAACATTTTCTTAAATTTCCCTGTTTTCACTATTGGCCTACGTTTAGTTCTTGCCAATGGCTCCTGCACTTCCGTGATGTTGGACAACCAATCCCAAAAGTTTTCTATGCTGTCTGCATATGACATCTGACCAGGCTTTGACACTGGAGACTGTTTAACAAATAGGCGTAAAGGATTGATGATCCTTGAGTGGACCTCGTTATCGACCAGTGTGTCTGCAGCATCTTTGTCTTCCCAATCCAGCCCCTCTGAGGCATGTGCTATTTTTTTGCTGTCACAAAATAGCTGTTTGAAGAGAAAAAAGAGAAAGAGGAATATCAGGTTGGTCTTTGAGTTCATGACTGTTAAAGTTAAAATACCTGAAGCATAAAAGGGAAATGGTTTCACTGTTATTTAAAGGGCTGCTAAATAGAATTTCACACACACAGCTGGACTTCACCAATGTATCAAGATAAGCATTATTTCAAGCCCTATAGAACTGTGAGTGCATAGAAATTAGAATGACGACTTGCAACATTAAAAAAAACCCCACATAAATTCATTTTTAACAAGTTGACACAATTTTAGTCCCTATTTCCCTAAACATTCCAACTCTGATATTTTCTCAGACCAGAAGTGGGGCATCTTTGAGACTTCATTTGTTTATAAGTGATTGTTTAACCTATGGTTAAAGTGTATGGTTAAAGTATAAGTGGTTATTTCATTTGTGAAATTGTATCATCAAATTGGTTGAGGTCTTTTCTCTCAGGAAGAAAAAAAGGCCTCCTGGAAGTCTTGAGATTCATGAAGATCATCTGATTTGGAGATATTCTAAATCCTTTGAAAACATTTTTTTCTCCTGAAAAAAAAAGTTTTATTTTTCTTTTAAGCCTGGGTTTCATCATTGTGAGAAAATCATAGGATCACAGACTTACTTAGAGCTTAAAGGGATCTTAGAGGCCTCTGGTCCAATCCTCTCATTTTATAGATGAGGAAACTGAGGTCCAAAGGAGCTAAATGATTTGCCTGATGTCATATAAGTTGTAAGCATCAGAGATTTGAACCCATGCTCTCTAATTCCAAATCTAGGACTATTCCCCTGTACCAAACAGCCTTTCCAGTAGAAACTCTTTCTACTAACATATATCCACAATTAGATGTAATTTGTAATCTAAGAAGTTATCTTTGGTACTGAAAGAACAAGGGATTAGTCCAGGGTCACATAGGTAATATGTGTCTGAAGCAGAACTTGAACTCAGATCTTCTTGACTCCATGGTTGGACCTCAAATCAGTCTATGATACTGATTCTTGGCTGCTTGTTTAGAGGGCTTGTTTCGTTCAAAGATTTATGCTGTACATTTTCATACAACTTGGAAAGATTTCACATCAGGTACAGTGTTCTACATGCTTTACTTTTTAATCTCTGGGATTTGAAGGTACATCTAGGATAGCTGACCATACAGAGGAGTGAATATTATGCAAATTAAGTCATATTAATTCTTTTTTTTTGTTTTCATTTTTTATTCTGTACTTAACAAACACCAAACAAACTAGGCATTTCCATATACATAGTAGAACAAAAAAGAAAATTATTATGACATTTCAGATCTCTATTATAAATGTAGCTTGCTTTTCCTTTTAAGTATAATAAACTCAACTTGTTGTTTAAGTATAATAAATTCAACCAGTTGAATAATAAATTAAGTTTCAAAGGTGTTTTGCTTTTCAGTCTTCCTTTATGTGCTTCCTCTGTTCTCTTCTTTGTATTTTAAGAAAAGTCTCAATCACCTTCTCTCTCTCTTTCCTTCCTTCCTTCCTTCCTTCCTTCCTTCCTTCCTTCCTTCCTTCTTTCCTTCCTTCTTCCCTTCCCCTATTTCTATCCCTTACCTCTCTCCTTACGCTGGGGAATAAAAGAAAAAAAACATAGCAATGCTTTATTTCTAAGGAAGTGTGACATTCATTGTACTTTTTTTTAAAACCAATTCTAAAATGCTATATTTCATATAATAAACATAGAAACACAGTTTTTTTCTTAGAATTCATACTGCAAAACAGGAAGAGGAATAATTTGATTGCTCTCTTGTACACTTTTAGTGACTTTGTAAATCACTTCTAAAATTAAATTTGAGAAATAATTAAAAAATCTCAAGGGGTTGCACCATCATATGCCAAACTGTTGCCTGGTTTCAATATTTCTGGTTGAGTTATAAAGTCTGGAAAAGAGATGTTTGTTTCTAATACTTATAGATACTTATCTCTAATGGTACAATCCTCTCTGTTGTAATGATTCTATGGAAGACTGTCAATATGATGGAAAGGATGTGGAGCATGGGTGAGGGAAGAAGTGACATTATATTTGTATATTATTTCTGAAACCCTCTCAACCTTGGGGAAGCACCATGAAAGACCTATTAATAGCTGAATACACGGAAGCAATTGCTTTGAATCCAGTTTCACAAAGAACACATACATTTGAACTTCTGTATAATCCATTTCATAAAAGGTCAGAATTTGGCATAAAGCCTGGCAGCTAGGTGGCACAGTAGATAGAGCTCTAGGCATGAAGTCAGGAAGACTCATTTTTTTTTAATTCAAATGTAGCCTCCAACACTTACTAGCTGTGTGACCCTGGGCAAGTCATTTAACCCTGTTTGCCTCGGTTTCCTCATCTGTAAAATGAACTGGAGAAGGAAATGGCGAATTACTCCAATATCTTTACCGAGAAGACCCCAAATGGGATCATGAAGTGTTGGCCATGACTGAAAACAAATGAACAAACTGAAAGGGACCATCTTTAACACATCCAAAGAGATTTAGTTATGAAAGTACTTAAACTGCATTATTGTAAGGTGGTAATGATGGGGATGGGATCTGGACCCCAAAAAGGAAAAGCCCTTGAACTTTCCCGCATGGCCCAGTCCCTGATGTTCACCTGTGATATCGCCTCATCCCAGAATAATCCTTTTAACTATCCCTTCATTGTGACTCTGACTTTCACTTCTCTATTACCTCTAATTTAGCCCAGCCCTTCATTGTGTTACCTCTGGTCCACCCCAGGCTATTTCCTATCCTTAGTCCCATCTAGACCCCTTCTCTGTCACCTCCCAGTCACCCCAAGCTATTGGTCACTTGTTCATCACATCCAGATCTTCCCACAGTCTTTCTGTATATAAGTATCCATCTTGCCCCCATTAAATCCCTCAGATTCTTAAAATCTGGCCCAGTTGTCAATACAAGGTCACAAATGCACAGGTTCTTAAAATCCCACCTGCTTCTATTGGCAAAACAATAAACCTTGTCTCTGACTGAAAGAAGGCTTGAGTCAAATTCCTTTGAGGCAGATCTGAGCCTTTTGCCCTTGAATTTCAGGGTTCCCAGCAAGCCCAGAGCACAACAATTTCAACTAAAGGGTGGTCCCAAACCAAACTTCAGAATCTACCCCAAGCCAAATTCCAATGTATCTTTTAGGTCAAGAGAAAATAAAGCATGGCAAAAGTGTGTTGTTAATTTACCTTCCACCAATCTCACTTTTTGTTGGTATTTAAAATATGAATTTCTTCTTTAATCTAATTAGCATTTGTTTAAGATTTTGGATGGGGTATTAGGATGATCTCAATTTTAGGCCTGGGGTAGAGTAGCTAAATTTAACCTTCTACTTCTTGGTATTTGAAAGCATCCCAAGGTAAGACTTTAACCCATCTTCCTCATCTCCACAGTTAGAGAATAATGATCTTCACCAGGCCTGGAGACACCAGAGACCATTTTGGTTCTTTCTGATGTTAGGCTACTGTATTTTCCTGACTTTGAGTTACTCTACAATGTTCAAGATAAGGGTTTCAGCTCTTTCCCTTATGTCTTCTTGAATTCTAGTTGAACCCAGATGGAATGGAAATGTCCTTTGTCAATTCTCACAAATTGCCTATAGTTTATAGCCAGATTAGATGTAGCTTTCTTATAAGTCCCCTCCCCTCCAAGAAAAACCAAGCCAAGCCCTGACAAGCTTTACTTTGTTTCATTGAGTCTAATGCTTTTCATTCATGTATTCACTATACATAATATCTGTATACATAGGCATATATGTACATGTTTATAGATGTGTGTATATATATGTATATATCTAGAGATATATATATACATATATATATACATATATATATACATATATATATATATACACATACATTCAAAGAGAGAGAGAGGAGAGCAGAGTAGAGCAGAGAGACACAGAGACACAGACACAGACACAGACACAGAAACAGAGGACAAATCAGGAGTGTGATTTCATCAATATAGGGAGCTCTCAAGAAGGAGATTTCCTCAATTAATACAGTTTGGTCACCATCTCTGCAACTTTGAGTATTAAAAAGAGCTGCCATTGGCACTGAGAGGTTACACAGCTCATACAACGAGGAGGTTGCAAAGGCAAGATTTGAATTCCAATCTTCTTGTCTCTTAGGACAGTTCCCTCTCTACTAGGCCTCACTATCTCTCTATAGCAGATTTCCTACGAAACTTACTTTTTTCCCTATATATGACCTAAAGGCATGATGGCTTTTGTTCTTCTAAAATATGGAGTCAGAAACTTGAGAACTGAAGGTGATCACAATGAATATTTTGTCTGAGTCTCATGATAAAGAGGAGATAAGTGACTCACCACAATAGCCAGTGGCAGAACCAGTATTAGAATCCAACTATTTTGAATTCAAGACAAATGAAATCTTTCCACTATATTCTGCTGCCTTCCTTTGTTGCTTGGCTCATTAACTCTCATTTCTGGGCACGACCATTGAAAGTTCTTGGGTTTTAAGATTTTGCCCATCCCTTTTCCATTGAGTACTTGTCATTCAGATGGCCTAATTTGGCAATCTGTATGCTTTTAGGTTGCAGTCATTTCCTGGTCATCAATTGATGGCGGCTGCATTGTTTGCTAAGTAAAGAACTGGGCATGTGTACATACGTCCATCATGTTTTTTTGGGATTATGGTACATAATGGGATATGATACATATATTCATCATACATATTGGAATTATCATGAAATATAGTGGCAGGCATAACTTGGTCCTACTTAGTGTTATGTGGTAATTATACAATTGAGAGTTTGAAGGGACTTCAGAGAGCATCTAATCTAAACATCTTAAAAAAAACACATAAGTGAGGAAACTGAGGTCAAGAACATTTGAATGACTTGTACAAGGCAACATAGACAGAAAACAGAAAAACCAGATTTTGAACCCTGAATTGTTTGACTACAAATACAGAGCTCTATGCTTTTTTAAGAATCCACAACTTCATCAGTGTACTTCTATTGATACAAGTCACAATGCTTTTACTCCTTAGTAAATCTTAATAGTTTTCTTTGTTGCTGTAGCCCAAAATAATTCATGATGTGGTAGCTACCTGATACTGAGATTGGGGAATATAATTTCATACTGCATTGATATAGCACAACATAATAGTTACATGGCAATTATTACTAGGAAACGGTGGACTAGGCAGGCAGAGAACCATGACTTCATACACATTTATAGGGATAGCATTTGGTGGCTATATCTGGAACAGTTCCTACTAAATAGTTTTGGACTCATTAATCACCTCCAAGAAACTTCTGAGGAGGGTGGTTGGTTGAACATTCTTTCTCTTCTTATTGTTATCATTTGGGGTCAACAGTATAAATGGACAAGGACTGCATCCACTCTTTCTTCTATATTTGTCCTTCAATATGTATTTTTGCAGCTTTACTATTAGCCTTAAATTCATATGTGTGTGTGTATTTATATATATACACACTGATACACACATATGTGTCTGTATGTGTATGTGTGTGTGTATGTATGTATGTATGTATGTATGTATATTTCTTTTCCCCTCTATTTTCCTACTGGTTTTATTACTACTTCCCTTCTCTTTGAGGGAAGATGATGCCTCATTTGCTATTTTGCCTTTTTATTTACATTTAACCTCAATTTTCAGGCATTTAAAAACCATTATCATCACCACTCCTTTACTCGCAGGCCCTACTTTTGTCCATTGGAAACTTTCTCTTCCCCCATACACATGAAACAGTCCTGCTTGTTACTAGAGCCAGCATCAGGTTCTTTTTTCTTTTCAACTCTTTGATATCACATTCTCCCTTTTGCTTTTCCTCCTTTATCTTTTCCTTGATGTAGCACCCTGCTTGGTTTCAGCTCCTGGCTGCCATTGTTTTTAACCTATAAATCTTGAAGCCATTATTCATGAAGCTATAGGGGATATTTCTGGCTCCCTGAATTCACTCATTACTAATTGATGTGGTGGTAACAGAGGTTTCTGACCTTGTAGGGTATAACCTGTCTCATATTGGCACATTTCAGAATATATGACAGATTCCACAAGATAATGAGGAACTCTAGGAGATTCTCCAAATCCTTGCTATATCGCAATTTGGTTATATTAAATATTGCTTAAAACAAAGAGCATTTTGATGGAGTTTTTTTTTTTAAAGGAACACAGTTCTAGAGTGGTATACATAGTGACAATACTTAAATTCTATAGGTATAACCACTTTTAAGTCTATAGGGATGCAAAAATTTAAATTTATTGGAAAAAACAGGGTATGGTTCTTTGCTTTATAAATGGATTTTACCTGCTTTGAAAAATATGCACGGTTCCTTTAAATACTTCCTCAAATAACTTTAAAATAGAATTTGATTTACAATGATTCAATTTACAATTCTTCAGGTACAAATCTGTTGGGTAAAACAAAGTTCATGTATACAGTGTAAGTGCTCCAACCTTACAATAAGCAGACTTGACTAACACAGTACAGATCTGCAATTTACTCTTTCTCCCAAAGTAAAAATCTATAAGAATTGAATTGACTGTTTTGCCTTTTGACCTCTGTCCCCTCATGCCATCATGTTTCTGAAGTCTATTACTGGGAATGCTTTCATTCCCCAAGCAGCAAAAGAAGTCAGTTAACCTGACCGAATTGTAAATTTGACAAAGACCGGGCCCTTATTCCATTTTTGTTGTTGTTCAGTCATTTTCAGTCATGTCCGACCCCATTTGAAGTTTTCCTGGCAAACATACTGGAGTGATTTGCCATTTCCTTCTCTGCTCATAGGTGGCCATATATAGTCTGGTCAATGTTTTCAGACACAAAGTATCCATAGGGGGGCCACATTTGTTAGTGACCATTCTCCCCAATCCTTCAAAATGGTGAAGAACCCTGGATACCAGTAGAGCTCTAGCTGCCTCAGTGAGCCCACCACCACTCATTCCTCCTCCCCCAACTTATCTTCTAGTCTATACCATTCAGTACTTTACTTCCCTCTTGCCCTTAATTATACTAATGGACTGCCTGTCTGTAAAAACAAAAACAAAAACAAAAACAAACACAAAAAAACAAGGTGGCATTTCACAGAGAACAGGTCTTCAAAGCACAACTTCCCTTCAGTTAAAGCCATGACCTTCACAGGATCATAGATAACTGGAAATGACCTTGAAGGTTATGTGGCCAATCCCCTCATTTTTACAAAGATAAAACTGAGACCCAGACAAACTAAATGATTGGAATAGGGTCACACAGAAAATAGCAGAACAGAAATTCAAACCCAGTCCTTCAAATTTAAATCTATTGCTTTTTTTTTCATTGCTCTTCCTCTTGCTGGGCTTCCAGAATGAAACAAATCCCTTTGACCTCCTTTGAACCTTTGGGGAAGCAATGAAGGACATCCTCAGACCTGGATATCCACATGGATACATGTAACTGGGGACTCCAACAGTCTAGGTGAATGTGTCCCCCAGGTCACCAGGACTTTAAACATCCTCTCAGTATCACTTAAAATCTGGTTAACAATCAAGTAACTTGCTTAATGGCAGATGTCAAGCTAATGACTAAACAAGCCTCATCCTTCTCAGCCCTAGGCTTTCCATGGACACTGTCATGATATTTCTTCAGGGGTCTGGTTCTGCTGGATGCCGAGCTCTATCTAGATCATAAGGGAAATGAAGCAGAGGTGAGATCAGTTCCAAAACGCTTTGGGAAACTTTCGTTCCAACCTACCAAATGAGTCAGCAAAGGGAGCTGATAGTATAAAGTGCCTAGCAGGCACCCTCTTGCTCAAACAGACAATTTCTGTGATATGACATGCAAGCAAAAGACTGTAGGTGGTTCTGAACCTGTTGGCAAACCACTCCGTCCAAGGCAAAATCATTAGATTTTATCAACAAAATATATGGCTGTATCTCCCCAGTAACTTCTGTGATTCTCCAGGCTCTTCATGCTAATTTCAGTATCACTGCTCTCTTTTGTCCCATGTATTACAATAATAATGCAAAAAACATTCAGCTGCTGGAACAAAAACCTGAGTTTGAAAAGGGGGTGGGGGTGGGGGGGGAAGAGGAATTGCTATGCTTTATCTGTTTGAACATTCCATGATTTCAACACATTTATCAAAGCTTAAGTAATTTACGTCTTGGCAGGGTGTATCAATTTCACAACGCATACACATTAGCTAGATATAATGATATCATATTAGCTTTTTCTGTATCTCACAGTAGAGCTTGAAAAGATTAATAAAAGCTCAAACCTTCATCAATTAAATAAAGCAGGTGGGGGGAGAGGAGAGATGAATAAAATTGTATTCCTTTGCAGCTCCTTTGTTGTTGGAAAAGGATGACAGGTTCTAATCATTCATCATAACAAGCTGAAGTTGAACTTTACTGATAATTAAATGTGCTTTCTCCCAAAAGGCAGAGAAGCTACAGTGAGTTTTATAGTAGCAGATGTGAGAGCTGTCAGGAATTCTGTAAAGAATTTAGGAACTAAAGATAATCTTCCTTTGAGAAAATTGCATCAGCAGTCATTTGAAAAATTCTGCTTGCTTTTATTTTATTTTATTTTTTTTATATTCTTACTTGGACTATATGTTTTTGTCATCATAAACTAAGCTTAAATTGCATTTAAGCTGGCAATACTTTGCTTAGGATTGATTTTTGACATTTGGTACCTCTCATGCACTTTAATTTATATAGACATGGAGTAGTTCTGAATAGCTTAGGATGACTCCAGAATTTTCTATGAAATCAGTCTATTATTTTGACACTAAAGTCATTTAATCACATAGAGGCATCCTGGTATAATGGAAAGATCATTGGTCTGGGGATTGGAAGCTCTGGATTCCCAGCTAAGCTTTGCCACTAGATGATCTTGGACAAGTCATTTCAATTTTCTGGGTCTCATTTTTCTCTTCTGTAAAATGAGATGGTTGGTCCAGATAAGAAGTGATGCAGTCCTTAACACTCCCCAGTGTAGCCCCAATTATATTATAATGTAATGGGGAAATGTTTAACAAAATAAAAACATACCTAATATCACATTTTAAAACTAAATCAATATGCAGCCTGTAGGGATCCTTATATACGGATTAATGGCCCCCATTTTTATTTGTTTGACCTCACTGGTCTAGATGACCTTTAAAAGGTGCCTTATAATTCTAAAATCCAAGATTCCAATTTTTATTAAAGATGTAGGTTTTTTTTTAATTGGTAGAAAATATGACTCTCCCTTTAGTTTATTTTCATTTTATTATCAGCACAGCCCTTGAATCTGGAAGAACTAAGTTCAAAGTCTTCTTCTGTTATCACTAGCTGGGGTATAGACAAGTGACTATGGCAAATCATTCAATCTCTCTGAATGTCAGTTTCTGTATCTGCACAATGTTTATATCTCACAGAATTGTTGTGGGGCTCAAACGAGATAATGGATGAAAAATTTAAACTGCCATATAAATATCAATTATTATTTTCCAACTTAGGAGTCAATCTTACATATATTCTTCCTGGCTGGGCTTTGAAGGGTGCCCTTTGCATACCTACATGCTTACCCAGAGAAGATAAGGTTGACAAAAGAATGACCAGAGTCCTTCACAGGAGTTTTTTTGTACACACCCTTGTTTTGTTTACATGGGACTCATTGGTGATTCAGGACCACACACACTATCTGCTATCCTTTGGGACAAAGAACAGTGGACTTTCACCTCTTACTCCAGTGTTTTTCTTCTAATGTAGTGGGTTAAGGAGAAAAGGACTGAGGAAATGTAGGAAAGAAAATTAGGCTCTTTGGGATTTTGAACTTAATTGATGTTTTCTGGGTTTTTTGGTTGTTGTTCAGTCATTCAGTAGTGTCTGACTCTCTGTGACCCCATGGGCCAGGGCATGTCAGGCTCGTCTATCCTCTACTATCTCCTGAAGTCTGTTCAACTCATGTTCGTTGCTTCCATGACACTATCTATCTATCCCAAGCTTTGCCAGCCCCTTCTTTTGCTTTCAATCTTTCCCAACATTAAGGTCTTTTCCAGTGAGTCCTGTCTTCTTATTATGTGGCCAAAGTATTTATGTTTCAGCTTTAGTATTTGACCTTGCAATAAATAGTCTGAAATTATTTCTTTAAGTATTAACTGATTTGACCTTCTTGCTATCCAAGGGACTCTCAAAAGTCTTCTTCAGCACCACAATTAGAAAACATAATTTCTTAGAGCTCAGCTTTCCTTGCAATCAATCCAACTCTTGAAGTCATACATTGCTACTGGAAAAAAAAAAAAAAAACATAGCTTTCACTATACAGACCTTTGTTGGCAAGGTGATGTTACTGCTTTTTGGTATGCTGTTCAGATTTGCCATAGTTTTCCTTCCAAGGAACAAGCATCTTTTAATTTCATGTCTGCAGTCACCATCTGCAGTGCTCTTTAAGCCCAGGAATAAAAAATCTGACAGTGCTTCCACTTCTTCTCCCTCTATTTACCAGGAAGTGATGGGACCAGTTGCCATAATGTTAATTTTTTAAATTATTAATTTATGTTAAGCTTCAAGACAACTTTTATACTTTCCTCTTTTACCATCAAGTGGCTTCTTAATTCTTATTTACTTTCTACCATAAGAGTAGAATCATCTGCCTATCTGAGACTACTGCTATTTCTCCCAGCAACCTAAATTATGGCTTTTGATTCATCCAGTCTGACATTTACTTAATGTTCTCTGCATATAAGTTAAATAAATAAAGTGACAATATACAGCATTGTTATACTCATTTTCCAATCTTAAACTAATCAGCTTCATGTTCAGTTCTAAATGCTGCTTCTTCACCCACATCCAGGTTCCTCAGGAGATAAGTAAGATGATCCAATACTCCCATCTCTTTAAGGACTTATCATATTTTGGTGTGATGAACAAAGGCTTTAGTGTAGCCAGTGAAGTAGAAGTAGATGTTTTCCTAGAACTTCCTTGTTTTCTCCATAGTTCAGCAAATAAATGTTGGCAATTTGGTATTTAGTTCCTCTGCCTCTTTGAAAACCAGTCTGTTTTGGTAATTCTTGGTTCACCCATTGCTGAGGTCTACCTTGCAGAATCTTAAGCATAACTTTGCTGGCGTGGGAAATAAGCACAATCATTTGGTCATTTAAACATTCTTTGGCATTGTACCTCTTTAGGATTGAGGTATAAATTGATCTTTTCTAATCTAGTGGCTACTGCTGAGTTTTCCAAATTTGCTGGCATTTTGAGTGAAGTACTTTAATAGCATTATCTTTTAGGATTTTGAATAGCTTAACTAGAATTCCATCACCTCCATTAGCCTTATTGTTAGCAATGCTTCCTAAAGCCCATTTAACTTTATTCTTCAGGCTGTCTGGCTCTAAATCAGTACCACCACTGTGATTATCGGTGAAAAAAATCTTTCTTGGAAAGCTCTTCTGGGTTTAGTTTCTATGTAAAATATCCAGTGCTATTATTAAACACATAATCATAGCAGAACTTCACCTGCACAGTCCAAAAAGTCAAATGTCTATTCCTTATTTTATAAAGAGATTTTTAGTCTTCTTTCAGATCACCAGGATTTAGACATTAATTAAGTACATTGCCAGGAAGAACACTCGACTTAGGGTTAGAGGACTTAAGGTGGAGAACCTGGGTCTGCTCCTTACTACCTGTGCAAACTTGAGCAAATCACTACTTCCCTGGACGATCTTTGAAAAATAATGCAGTTAGTCTACAAGGATGATCCCTTACAGATCTAAAACTCAGCACTTCTGCTACCATTGTGCCAGCATTTTACAAATTTAGCCAGCAGTCCCTTTTGAGTTCTGTCTTTAATTTGGTATCTCCCTTCCCAAATGGGTAAAACCAGATAACAAAGCTTATATTTTATATTTAATAAGTGGACAGGCTTTGAGTGGTTAGGAATAAAGTACTTAGATTTGAAGCAGCTTTGTGATAATTATTTTGTGTGTCTGAAGGCTTTTCTGCCTTCCTTTCTAGTTTAGAAATGTTTCAGAGGGTTGTAGTTGTCTTAAAACTGACCTCCACCTAACAGCAAGAACAACAACAATAAATTACATATACATATAGCATCTATGTAAAATTTACTTATAGCACTACAAATGCTTTCCCAACTATAACCCTGATGTGTCCTAACCTTTAAAATGGGAATGAATTTATTTGTGTTAAGTACCATTCAGGGTTGTTGTGGGAAAGCATGCTACAAACTTTCAAACACTCTAAAATGAGAGTTGTTATTTACTTATTTAGACCACACCTATTGGGAGTGACTAGTGAAGAAGTTTCTCTGCCATTGTATATTATAGCACCATCTCTGTAACCAGAATTAGAATTTCCTGGGGGTACTGAACAGTATAACCACTCGCCTGAGGCCATACTACTATTAACACATTGTCCTTAGCTAGACAAACTTAGGTTTTT